AGATAGAACATGATGATTTCATAGAGTGTATACGTCGAACAAAAACGGTAAGGAAGTGATGGAGGTGGGAGCTGAATTACTTTCTTGTTTCTTTGGGGCTATTCTGAAGCGTTTTTAGTGGGTCATTGGGCAGTGGCTTGCCCAGTGTGAATTGGCAAAGCTTTTCTGGTGAAATACCTTTCACCAGGCTGAGGCAGGAGAATCGCTTGAAGCTTTCCTACTTTGGTACCTTGATGAGGAAGTTAAATGCCCTCACATATGAGGATGGCACATTGTTCCTCAGCATTCTTCCTCTTCCAAATTATCCTTAGTATTTTACCCTGCTGTAGCCATAGGTTAGAAATTGCATGTGTGTGTATTCCCCTTTTTTTGAGAATATCAACTAGCTTTAGATGTTGATCCTTGAAAATCTTTGGGTAAAAGTATTTCGAATCCATTGAATCTTCATTGGACAAGAGGTTTAACCTGCAAATCTATTACATTCAACATCTCTGGATTCGTTCTACTCTGAAGAAGATGGAGGTGTTAATGAGATTGATGTACACGAGCCTGACTGACAATGCAGAGGAAAGGGGATGTTAATAGCATAGCATCCACCTCCTCAAAAGTTGAATGAGTTGACTGGGTGCAGTGGCTGACACCTGTCACCCCAGCACTTTAGGAGGCCAAGGTGGGCGGATCATGAGGTCAGGAGTTTGAGACCAGCCTGGCCAATATGGTAAAACCCCGTCTCTACTAAAAATACAAAATTTAGCCAGGCGTGGTATTGTGCACTTGTACTCCCAGCTACTTGGGAAGCTGAGGCAGAAGAATTGCTTGAACCCATGAGGCGGAGGTTGCAGTGAGCTGAGATCATGCCACTGCACTCCAGCCTGGGCAACAGAGCAAGACTGTCAAAAAAAAAGAAAAATGAGTTACAGAATATATAGGGGCCTGCTCTTTCTTAGGAAAGAAATCTCTGGGTGGGGGCTGTTGTTTTGCCTATTTCTGTGTTCTAGATATAACAAATAGAAACGATAGCACAGTGACCTGGATCAAAGCTTTAAAATTTTTTCTCTCAACATCTGCTGTTAGCATTTGGATAAAGGGAAGCCACACTTGGAATAAGGGAGTGTCAGGAAATAATTTTGTATCGATCTCTGCAGGAATATTGATCATGAGGTAAGTAATATTTTAGGTTTTGGGTTTTTTTTTTAATAGAGATGGGGTTTCACCAAGTTGGCCAGGCTGGGCTCGAACTCCTGACCTCAGGTGATCCACCCGCCTCGGCCTCCCAAAAGTGCTAGGATTACAGGTGTCAGCCACCACGCCCAGCCAGGTTTTTTTTTTTTTTTTTTTTAAGAGTCTCACTCTAGTCACCCAGGCTGGAGTGCAGTGGCACAGTCTCAGCCCACTGCAACCTCCACCTCCCAGGTTCAAGCAATTCTCCTGACTCAGCCTCTCAAGTAGCTAGGATTACAGGTGTGCACCACCACATCCAGCTAATTTTTGTATTTTTAGTAGAGACGGGGTTTCACCATGTTGATCAGGCTGGTCTTGAACTCCTGACCTTGTGATCCTCTTGCCTCAGCCTCCCAGAGTGCTGGGATTACAAGCATGAGCCATCATGCCTGGCCGTATTTTAGTAATACTGAGGGACAATGGGTCATAGTTGGCCATCTTTCAGCCATTTGGTTCACAACACATGTTACCTTCTTCTGGTCTTCAGTTATTTGTTGCTGAGATTAGGATTTCACCTAATTTGAGGCCAGGTGCAGTGGCTCATGCCTGTAATCCCAGCACTTTGGGAGGCTGAGGCGGGCGGATCACCTGAGCTAGTCAGGAGTTTAAGACTAGCTTGACCAACATGGCGAAACCCTGTCTCTACTTAAAATTATAAAAATTAGCGGGGCATAGTGGCAAATGCCTGTAATCTCATCTACTTGGAGGCTGAGTCAGGAGATTCACTTGAGAATTGCCTGAACCTGAGAGGCAGACATTGCAGTGAGCTGAGATTGCGCCACTGCATTCAAGCCTGGGCAACAGAGTGAGACTCAGTCTCATTTAAAAAAAAAAAAAAAAAAAAGATTTGAATAAATTGATACCAACAAGGGGCACTGTAGTAAGATGGAAAGAACATTGGATTGGGAGTTAGCAGAGTCAGGTTCTGATGCTGTTTTTCTGCCAGCATTCATTTGTTCTTGGTTGGTTATTTAATTTATTTATTTATTTTTGAGATGGCCTCTGCCTCCCGGGTTCAAGCAATCAGCCTGCCACCATGCCCGGCTAATTTTTCTTTTTTTTTTTTTTTTTTGTTTTTTTTTGAGACGGAGTTTCGCTCTTGTTACCCAGGCTGGAGTGCAATGGCGTGATCTCGGCTCACCGCAACCTCCGCCTCCTGGGTTCAGGCAATTCTTCTGCCTCAGCCTCCTGAGTAGCTGGGATTACAGGCACGCGCCACCATGCCCAGCTGATTTTTTGTATTTTTAGTAGAGACGGGGTTTTACCATGTTGACCAGGATGGTCTCGATCTCTTGACCTCGTGAGCCACTGGGCCTGGCCTTAATTTTTCTATTTTTAGTAGAGATGGGGTTTCACCATGTTGGCCAGGCTAGTCTCAAACTCCTTACCTCATGATCCACCCACCTTGACTTCCCAAACTGCTGGGATTACAGGCATGAGCTGCTGCACCCGGCTGGTTAATTTTAACTTATGTTTTGAGACAGCATCTCACTCCTGTCACCCAGGTAGGAACTCACTATAGCTACAACCTCTTGGGCTCAGGTGATTCCACTTCAGCCTATCAAGTAGCTGGGACTACAGGAGCACACCACCACACCCAGATAATTTTTTTGTATTTTAGTAGAGACAGGGTTTCACCATGTTGCCCAGGCTGATCTCCAGCTCCTGAACTTAGGTGATCTGTCTGCCTTGGCTTCCCAAAATGCTGGGATTACAGGTGTGAGAAACCACCCGGCCCTAATTTTGATTTGATTTATATAAAATAGGACTGGGATCTCCCTGTGTTGCCCACTCTGGTCTCAAACTCCAGGGCTGAAGTGATACCACATTGGCCTCCCAAAGTGCCGGGATTACAGGTGTGAGCCACCACACCCAGCCTGTTAGTGTTGTTTTTGAGACAGTGTCTTTTTCTATCACCCAGGCTGGAGTGCAGTGGCATGATTATAGTTCACTGCACCCTCAGACTCCTAGTCTCAGCTCATCCCCCTGCCTCATCCTCCCAAGTAGCTGGCTAGGACTACAAGTGCATGCCACCATGTGGAGCTTTTAAAAATTTTTGTAGAGACAAGATCTTGCTGTGTTGTCAGTGCTGATCTTGAACTCCTGGCCTCAAACGATCCTCTTGCCTCGGCTCCCCAAAGTGCTGGGATTACAGAAATGAGCCACCACATCCAGCAGACCACCACTAGTTTTGTGACTTTGAGCAAATCACTTTCCTTCTTAGTCTTGATTTCCTTATCTGGAACAATTAAAGAATTGTTCTTGCTGGGTAGTCTCAGCACTTTGGGAGGCCGAGATGAGTGGATCACAAGGTCAAGAGTTTGAGACCAGTTTGATCAACATGGTGAAACCTCATCTCTCCTAAAAATACAAAAATTAGCTGGGCGTGGTGGCTTGCCCCTGTAATCCCAGCTACTCAGGAGGCTGAGGCAGGAGAATTGTTTGAACCCAGGAGGTGGAGGTTGCAGCAAGCTGAGATCATGCCACTGCACTCCAGCCTGGGTGACAACGGTGAAACTCTGTCTCAAGAGAGAAAAAAAAAAGAATTGCTGCTCTAAGGTCACTTCCTAATACTGTGATTTTTTTGAATAGGTAAGTTACCATTTTCAGGGTCATCTTAAGTGACTAGATACCTCCCTGTAGTGAAGAACCTAGTGAGTCAGAGAATTAGAATCAAGTGCTATTGTAAATTCTTGGCATATTATGATGCATTTATTTCTCACAACAATTCTATGAGATGAGTTACTGTCAGTTTCCCCACTATACAATGAAAAATTTAACTTTGGGAGGTCAAGGCACGTGGATTACCTGAGGTCAGGAGTTCAAGACCAGCCTGACTAACGTGGTGAAACCCCATCTCTACTAAAAATACAAAAAATTAGCTGGGTATGGTGGCAGGTGCCTGTAATCCCAGCTACTCAGGAGGCTGAGGCAGGAGAATTGCTTGAATCCAAGAGGCAGAGGTTGCAGTGAGCCAAGATTGCACCACTGCACTGCAGCCTGGGCAAAAAGAGCAAAACTCTGCCTCAAAAACCAAACATACAAAAATTTAAGGCATGGAAAAGTTAAAGACATTGTTACCTGAACTTAAATCGCTGGTTTATCCTGGCAAGGCTGGCTCCAAAACCTATGCTTTTATCCAAAGTAACTGCTTTTAGGTCAGAAGAAGATTTGACATATGGTGTTATCATAGTTCACCCATGACTAGTCTTGTGTTGGGAGACTCTAAGATAAATGGTAAGAAGGTAGCCTTTTAAAAATGGTTAATGTTTATATCAGGGTTTTTTTTACTGAAGTTACATCAATCCTACTTCTTTAAGGTTAATGAGATGTTTAACTGAATATACTAATTCTTCATGTCTTTGTGAAAAGTTAGTCATTTGTTAAAAAGTCAGGAACTAGACTATGTGCTAGGAATACAGTAAGCAAAGCAGCAAAAAAAAAAAAAATCTGACTTAGTGGATCTTTTGTTATAGTGGGAGGAAGGGCAGAAAATTAACAAGTTAAAATAAGGTGATAATAAGTACAGTGAGAATAAACAGGAAAAGGATAGAAAGTGCTATGGGCCGGAGCTAATGGATGCTACTTTAAATAGGGTAGTTAGAGAAGAGTTTAGCAAAAGAAGATGGAGCAGAGACATAAAGAAAGTGAGCCACATGGATATGAGGGAAGAAAGTTCCATGCAGAGGAAACAGCAAGTGCAAAGGTCCCTGAGCTGACTGGAGGGAGCTAGGGGAATACTAAGAGATGAAGTCACAGGAGTAGGCCTTGTAAGACATTATAAGGATTCATCTTTTTGCCTCAGTAAGATAGAAAGCCATTGGAGGGTTGAGGAATATTGAGCAGAGGAATAATGTGATCAGGATTAGTAAATTTTCTGTGTCACAGAATCCGGGGACCAGTCCTTTGTTGTGGCTTTGACACACTTGTGTAACATAACTTTGGTTTGTTGGGAAGCAACCAATGCTCTATCTGAGGAGAAGAGACAGAATTCAGGACTCAGCGGTGACTAGTGGCTGAGTAAGAATCAGGCCTTTACTTCCATATGGGAAAAAGAAATCTCATATTGGCTATTTCTGCTTCATTCATATCCATTGCATAGTTACCAGCAGCAGTACCACTTTCACATAGAGAGGTCTAGAATATGTAAGTGCTGAGGTTGTCTTAACTTTATTTATTTATTTATTTATTTATTTAGAGACAAAGTCTTGCTCTGTCACCCAGGCTTGAGTGCAGTGATGCAATCTTGGCTTACTGCAATCTCTGCCTCCCAAGTTCAAGGGATTCTCCTGCCTCAGCCTCCTGAGTAGCTGGGATTACAGATGTGCACCACCATGCCTGGCTAATTTTTGTATTTTTAGTAGGGTCAGGGTTTCACCATGTTGGCCAGGCTGGTCTCAAACTCCTGACCTTGGGTGATCTGCCCGCCTCAGCCTCCCAAAGTGCTGAGATTAAACTTTTAATATTTTAAAAGATCTTAGTATACATAAATATGCCTCTTAAGGTTTTGCAAATATCTGTATTACTATATATATATTAATAATAGTTGTTTTCAGAGAGGTTATGTATACTAAAAATTTGTTTAAAAGCTTGGGAAGTGATTTCACGTTAATCTTTTAAATGTGGGCTTCATTTCAGAGGCCCTGTAAGATGAAAGGTTTTCTGTAATTTAAAAATGAAACCAAAATTCATCTCAGTTTTTCCAGTTCACACTTTCTGGCCTATATCTCCTTTCTCAGTTTAATTGCTGTTTTCCTTTGACAGATGAGACGTATGGATACCATCTGGAGGCAACGGGAAAAACTGATGAAGGAAGGGAAGTACACCCCTCCGCCTCACCACATGGGCAAGGGGGAGCCTCGGCCCTGAGCAGACACAGCTACTGATATCTGGAGGCCGATTTTCATGTTCTCTGTTCTCCACTGGAAAGGTTTATGGAAAACCTCCTTGTCAAAGTGTTTAAAAATAAAGTATTGCTCCATCCTATTTCTTCTATTTTCTCTTGGATCATGCCTTCTTTCTTTTCTCTTTTCTCTCTCTTTTTTTTTTTTGAGACAGAGTCTTGCTCTGTCGGCCAGGCTGAAGTGCAGTGGCACAATTTCGGCTCACTGCAGCCTCCACCTTCCAGGTTCAAGTGATTCTCCTGCCTCAGCCTCCCAAGTAGCTGGGACTATAGGCACGCTCCACTATACCTGGCTAATTTTTGTATTTTTAGTAGACACAGGGTTTCATCATTATTGTCCAGGCTGGTCTTGAACTCCTGACCTAAGGTGATCTACCTGCATCGGCTTCCTAAAGTGTTGGGATTACAGGCGTGAGCCACTGTGCCCAGCCGGATCATGCCTTTCTATACTGAGATTGCAACCTATTTTTAAAAGTTGATTTTAAAAACAGCAGAAATTTTTAGGCGGTTCCTAAAAAATTAGCAGCTATGGAACAATAACTAACGTCATTAACACTTACTATGTAGAAGATACTTTAAATATGTTATTTAAGAAGTTACAGTGTTTTCATTCTAGTTTATTTTTCTTACATATTTTTCTCTTTTTTTTTTTTTTTTTTTTTGAGATAGTGTCTTACTCTTTCACTCAGGCTGAGTGCAGTGATGCCATCACCCCTCACTGCAGCTTCAACCTCCTGGGCTGAGGTAGTCCTGCTTCAGCCTTGTGAGTAGCTGGGACTACAGGTGTGCGCCACCACATCTGCATGTCTTATTTTTCATAGAACATAGACTTGAGCTGGAAGAGGGAGGCAGTGGAGATAGGGGTTGTGTGTTGACTGTAAGTTCTGTGAAGTCTAAGGCTGAGAAAATGCCAAGTTCAGGCCAGGCGCGGTGGCTCACACCTATAATCTTGGCACTTTGGGAGGCTGAGGCTGGCGGATCATGAGGTCCGGAGTTCGAGACCAGCCTGGCCAACATGGTGAAACCCCATTGCTACTTAAAAAAAAAAAATACAACATACAGAAAATTAGCTGGGCCTGGTGGTATGTGCCTGTAATCCCAGCTACTCAGGAGGCTGAGGCAGGAGAATTGCTTGAACCTGGGAAGTGGAGGTTGCAGTAAGCCGAGATCGCACCCCTGCACTGAAGCCCGGGTAACAAAGCAAGACTCCATCTCAAAAAAGAAAAAAAAATGCCAAGTTGAGATAATTTAATTTTGAAGAAGTAATGCCATTGTTTTAATTTGCTATGTTATAACAGTGGCATATTAGTACTAGTTAACTTTTTTCTTTTTAAAATGTATTTATTTTTTGAAATGAGTCTCTCTTGCCCAAGCTGGAGTGCAGTGGCACAATCTCAGCTGACTGCAACCTCTGTCTCTTGGGTTCAAGCGATTCCCTCATCTCTGCCTCCCAAGTAGCTGGGACTACCGTACCTAGCCTGGGTGTTTCTTTCAATAACATGTTTCAGGCCAGGTGCAATGGCTCACACCTGTAATCCCAGCACTTTGGGAGACCAAGGCAGGTGGATCACGAGGTCAGAAGGTTGAGACCAGTCTGGCCAACACTGAAATCCCATCTCTACTAAAAATTCAAAAATTAGGCATGGTGGCACGCGCCTATAATCCCAGCTACTCGGGAGGCAGAAGAATCACTTGAACCTGGGAGGGGGACTGTCTCAAAAAAAAATATTAGCTGGGCATGGTGGCACGTGACAAGTCCCAGCTACTTGGAAGGCTGAAGCAGAAGAATCGTTTGAACTGGGGAGGTAGAGGTTGCAGTGAGCTGAAATCACTCCATTGCACTTCCAGCCTGGCCTGGGCAACAGTGAGATTCTTGTCTCAAAACAAGAACAAAAATAAAAGGCCAGGCACAGTGGCTCATGCCTGTAATTTACCTAGCACTCTGGGAGGCCGAGGTGAGCAGACCACAAGGTCAGGAGTTGGAGACCAGCCTGGCCAACATAATGAAATACCGTCTCTACTAAAAATATATAAATTAGCAGGGTGTGGTGGCACACACCTGTAGTCCCAGCTACTAAGGAGGCTGAGGCGGGAGAATTGCTTGAATCTGGGAGGCATAGGTTGCAGTGAGCCGAGATCACGCCATTGCCCTCCAGCCTGGGTGACAGAGGGAGACTCTGCCTCAAAAAAAAAAGTTCGGCTGGGCGCGGTGGCTCACGCCTGTAATCCCAGCACTTTGGGAGGCCGAGGCGGGTGGATCACGAGGTCAAGAGATCGAGACCATCCTGGTCAACATGGTGAAACCCCATCTCTACTAAAAATACAAAAATTCAGCTGGGCATGGTGGCGTGTGCCTGTAATCCCAGCTACTCAGGAAGCTGAGGCAGGAGAATTGCCTGAACCCAGGAGGCAGAGGTTGCGGTGAGCCGAGATCGCGCCATTGCACTCAGGCCTGGGTAACAAGAGCGAAACTCCGTCTCAAAAAAAAAAAAAAAAAGTTCAAAAACTTAATAGTCATAATGAGTGAACAGACAGGCAATCTTAGAAGAGAAATAGAAATGGGAAAAAACCCTAATGAAAATCTTTTTTTTTTTTTTTTTTTTTTTTTTTTTTTTTTTTTTT